CCCCCCCCCCCCCCCCCCCCCCGCTACATCTTCAAGATTGTCAAAGAATCGAGGGTGGTTGGGGTAGGTCCCCAACATTGGCATTCCACCGAGGTTTGCATTACTGTACACTTATGATATCGAGCATTAGGATTTTAATAGAATCTAAGCTATTGGGTAAGATCTATAATACAAAATTCAAATGTATAAAATATTTATGTTAAAATATTTATGTATAAAATATTTAGGATTTTAATCATTACATTTATGTTAAAATATTTCCTCCGTTCAACAATAAAGTTCGCATTCACTATTTACAAGGTCAAACTTTATTTACTTTGTTGACCTATTTTGTGTCATATTTGATAAAATAATATAGTTATGTCACTTTTAGTTTTGTAGATCTTTTCATATACTTTTTTAATATATAATATTTTATTTTTTAATTCAATACTATTTTTCATATAAAATGACTTGAATTTAATTAAACATCGTAACGCGCAACGAAAATTTTATCTATGGGCGGAGGGAGTAACATACATTTAGTACTTCATATTTTAATTTTTCAATAGGAGTGACGCTCATGTCAATACATTACATATAGAGATCGTTACAAAATTGAGGGAGAAGCTAGACGAACACAATGTGTTGGTGAAGTCATTCCGAATGGTAAGAGAAAAATATTCTCAAGTAGGGCTAATAGATGTCCCCTATGATTAACTAGGCACAAGAACGGTAGATACAATTTGACTATTGTGTCAGAAGTCTCAGCATTAGTTGTTAGTGATTTTGACAAGGCATTGGGAGAAAGAGATATACCGCTTGAGACTCAATGCAGAAAGTTAAAATTTATAAGCGAATAAAATCCAACATATTTACCACTCCAATATCCATTACTCTTTCCATACGAAGATGACGGTTATCAAAAGGACAAAGTTGGTGATAGAAGAAGTGTAAGCATTAGAGAGCGTTTGGCTTATAGATCACGTGAGAGGAAAAACGAGAACCCATCACTACTACAAAAAAGACCAAATAAATCCTACATTTGGACCGGTTAGCAAAATAAACGATTTAAAAGGAAAAAAAATTCGCGTATCGCTACACATTTGCATCGGTTATTCCTAATAACCGATGCAAAAGAGTATTTGCATCGGTTATCAGTAATAACCGATTCAAATGTTAAAACCCTTTTGAATCGGTTATTCCTAATAACCGATGCAAATACTCTTTTGCATCGGTTATTAGGAATAATCGATTCAAAAGGGTGTGTTATATTCACCCTTCAATATCTTATCCTTATGCGATTTTGAAAAAAAAGCCTCCAAACCCTCCTTCTTCGTCGCGCTGTGCTCCTTCGCCGCTGTGGTCATTCGCCGTTGTAGCCTTTGCTGCCGTTGCTTGTCCTCGCCGTTGTCCAACTGCCGCCGTCGCACTCGCCTTCTTCTCGCCGTCGCCAACTGCCGTTGTCGCCCTCTCCTTGCCGTCGCCCTCTCCTCGCCATTGCCAACGTTCGCCGGCCCTGCTACCCCACCCCGTGCCCCGCCCGCCGTGCTAGCCTCGCCGTCGCCCTCGTCGTTGCCAACTGTTGCCGGCCCGGCTGCCCCGTCATTTTCCTCGCCTCTTCTACCCCACGCCGAGCCTTCCTCACCTTCTTTAAGGTATTTTCTTTAATTTTTTAAACTTTAAATATTTAATTATACTATTATTTTTTATATATTTTTGCATTAGGTTAATATTTAATTTACTATATATTTGAATTGTTTTTGTGTTTATGTTTAAGTTGAAATGTGACATTGTGATATAGATTGCGTTTGAAATATAGATTGTTTAATTACTTTTTGTTTGATTCTACATGATCTGAGATATTATAATATAGAAATATCATATATTGACCGACCTAGATACCGTTTAAAATTTACCAATTAGGAGTAAATTTTAAATAGCTCCCAGTTTGGAGCTGTTCTTGAAATTCTTCTCTCACTTAGGTAGTGAGTGTATTTCTTTCTCTTTGTTCTGTCATTTTTTGGTTTGACGTTTCCTAAATGTGTTCTTCGGGTTCATTCATACTAAGATATATGAGATTGTTTCGAGAAATTTGTGTTGATTGATAGATGGTAGAGTCTTTGAGCTTAAGGCTTTGTTACATAAGCACACATCAAAAGAAGTAGTGAAGTGAAATGTATATTTGTCTTATAGACTCACTACTAAGCAGTGACACGATTTCATCGATCAACTAAGGGCAAACATATACTCCCTCCGTCCCAAAATATTCACAACATTTGCTTTTTCAGCAGTCGCGGGAACTTTTGTTTATTTCTACGTTTTCATTGGTTATTTGATAAAATAAAATATTCTCGACACCTCTTATTTTGAAGAACTTTTCATGTAGTTTTTTTATATGTAAATTTTATTTCTTATTTCTATACCAATATGTAAATAAAATGAATTGAAAAAACTTGATATTTTGCCTCGGGAATACAAGTGTGGCAGATATTTAGCGACGGAGGTAGTATGTCATTCTACCGCCAACATTTGCGGGTGGAGCACGACTCACGCTTTAGAAATATGATGGCATCCTTTTCCTAACACAATATGTCGTTCGACTGAGTATTCGTATCTATTTCTCACTTTAGCATGTAACCTAGATGGCCAGAGATTAGTATGTAACGTCCTGAAACCTGGTCTATCAGAATTAATTAATTAATTATAATTATTTAATTATTGAGACGGATCCGGAGTTTATTTAAAATAGTTGTCAATAAATATTAAAAGTTATACCGTTGTGTAGGGTTCGACGCAACGAATCCAATGATGCGATCGGATTTGGATTTGGAGCCCGTGGGCCCAGAAAGTGCGTTTTGGCCAGGTACGTTAAGTTAATACGGAGCCCAAAACCCCAAAAGTATAAATATATGCCTTACACGCCTAAAATCCCTACACGCCCCATAGTATTACGTAACCCTCGCCTCTCTCTCTCTCTCTCGCCTCACTCGATCGAAACAGAGCGGAAGAACATGGGAGCCGCAGAAGAAGAATAAGAAGAAGAAGAAGAAGAAAACAAGAAGAGTTCGTCGCCGTTTGAGCCTTTCATCCGTGAGTTAGTTTCGTTGTTTCGAGGTGAGTACGTGGAACCCTAATGTTAGAGTAGGTAATTAGGTTTGAAATCTACGTTCGTAATTGTTGTGATGATTAAATTGCATGAAAACATATATGGTTTGGTAATTTGGGAATTCTTGGGTTTCGATGAGTACTACAGGGTAGAATTCATGTTTTAAGGCATATGTTGATATTATGTGATTATGTAATATTCGTTACGTGTATATCATCATGTTTAAACGTTGAATTGGAGAATCGGTGTTGAATATCGAGTGGAAAATAGGCTGGTGCAGTAACTGGTATCTATCGCGGCGGACGGTAGGTTGGTACCGCCGGAATGGTACCGTCACCCCCTCGTTTCCACCTCCCTCTGGCGGTACCTGTAACCAACCGGTACCCCCGTACCAGGTGGACGATAGGCCCTACCGCCCAGTTGGTAGCGGCTACTTTGACAAGGATACCGTGTGAAGGCAACATGCACTCCGGTCGGTACCCACGTACCGTGGGACAGTACCTTGGTACCTTGGGGGCGGTATTCCCTACCGCTAAGGGTACCATGAGGTACCTGAACCGGACAGCAAACCATGTTTCGCTGAGGACGAACTCCGAGGCTTGTGTGTATTGCATGATGGAAAGTCAGGGGTGTCAACACCCCAGACCAACCGCTAAATGATATATCTCTGTTACAAGGTGTTGATCCAACACATGTATGATTGTGTGAAATATATATGTTGTATATGATATTGCAAGTATGAGTGGGCTGATCCAGCGCACAGCAAACAGGTACTGCGTGTTGATCCAACGTGTTTGGTAAGGTAAGTCTACCTAGAGGGAATCCTTGGAACTGGCATAAATATAGGAAATTAAGAGTATAAACCAGGTGGATGCCTGTTAGGCTCCAATGGTTACGTCAAACCGGGTAAAAATGTACGTATGGATATCCCTGAACTGCCTGGTGATCCATTAGGTGGGGATTCCACCCACCCAACGGAGAACTCCCGCGTTGGTTGAGCATGACCCGTTGAATGTGTACTCAACAAAGTGTTTTTTAATACCAAATCTTGTAATAGATTTTAGGATATACAACATTTTTTGTATGGTTGTTAGGATTTTTATTGTCATCTAGAACCAATATTTGTAATGTTGTCTTTATCTTCATTCTTGAAACAACAACATAAAGCTGACCATGAATGAAGAATGTATTGGTTAAATATAATCCAACAAATTAGAATGTTGACCTTGACTTTTGTTGATAGCCATTGCAAAACATAAAACTCCGGGTCATCCCATGACAGTATGACACCATGAGCAATGTCAAGGGAACCGGAGTAATTGAATGTATGACACCATGAGCAATGTCAAGGGAATCGGAGTAATTGCTTATTTTCTCCTCCATGAATAAATTAAGGGTTTGTTTGAGAATAGCGTTAGCATTTTGGATAAAATTTATTATTATTATTATTATTATTATTCTTCAAAGTTACTATTATTATAGCATTAGCGTTTTGGATAAAAATTACTATTATTATTACTATCATTATTGTAAAACCCCGGCCCCCACCCTGGCCGTAAGTGTCTACTCATAGAATTGTAGACTGACCCCACAAACCAACATAAGTCTTTCCCGCACACTTTGTCCTCACTCGTGTGAGCCCAAGGAATCTTTCCAGGGGGTCACCCATCCTAAAATTGCTCTAGGTCAAGCACGCTTAACTTTGGAGTTTCTAGGTGATGAACTCTCGAAAAGAAGATGCACCTTGTTGGTATGAGTAGTACAATCAATCCTTTTGAACTCTTCACATTCCCATCTTAAAACGGGGTATTACATTCACCCCCACTTAGGATTGCAACGTCCTCGTTGCATCCTTTGTTTTTTTAAACCCTTAGATCTTCCTCGCTAGGTGAACTAAGCTCTTTTGGCCCGCCACGGTCGCAGGGTTGCTCTGATACCATTTGTAACACCCCGGCCCCCACCCTGGCCGTAAATGTCTGATCATAGGATTGTAGACTGGCCCCATAAACCAACACAAGTCTTTCCCACACACTTTGTCCTCACTCGTGTGACCCCCTGGGAAGTTTTACTTGGGCGCGCACGAGTGAGGACAAAGTGTGCGAGAAAGACTTGTGTTGGTTTGTGGGGTAGTCTACAATCTTATGAGCGTACACTTACGACTACGGTGGGGCCAGGGTGTTACAATTATTATAATTATTACTATTATGATGATGATTATTATTATTACTATTGCTATTATGGTTATAATTATTATTATAGTTATTATTATTACTATTATCATTACTGTTTTTACTATGATTATGATTATTGTTATGATTAGGATCATTATTACTATTATTATTATTACTACTATTGTTATTATTACTATTACTATTAATATTATTATTATTATTATTATTTTTATTACTATTATTATGATTATTATTATATTTACTGATATAATTATATATTGTTATTAGTATTATTACTATTATTATTACTATTTCAATTATTTTTATTATTATTATTATTATCATTATTACTATTATTATTATTATTTCTATTACTATTGTTATTACTATTATTATTAATATTATGATTATTATTGATAATGATTTTTATTTCTTAAATCTAATAATTTTAGAAAAAATGTTATTGATTGTATTATAATATGAATGAGCATTATAATTTTTAAAAGTTATTAAATTATGGTAATAATTTTAATTTTAGTTTTATTCAAAATTGAATTAGATCAGATTCAATTACATCGCATCAAATCGGAAAAGATTAGAATTTCAAAGAATCAGATCAGATTTTGATCACATTAGTTTTAATGCTCCTTTAATTCAATTGCTTTTTTTTACTTTAAAGTGAAATTTTTTTTGAAGATGAAATCGAAGGGGTTGGGAGGTGGGTTTGGGCTAGACCAGAGTGGGGGTTTACCAAAGGTATTGAACAAAAGTGTGGAGATGAAGTTGAAGGGATTGAGCCAAGCCAAGGTGGGAGATTTGGGAGTTAGTGGTGTATCAACTCTCATTTTTTGCTAATTTTTTTATAACTTTATGAAACAAAGAATTTTAAGTATGAAATATTGAAGCATCAAAAAAGTAAAAAAAAAGTAATATCTTTGAAATATCTCGCCCGATGGAGGAGATGATTCGCAATTGATATTAATAATAAATATATATTCACTATTAAATACAAATGGCGTATCATCTCCTCCATCGAGTGACTAACTAGAAAGACATGACAATACCAAGCAGCAAATCGCATTCGAAGCTAGCGATTGTGATGCCTATTTGTTAAGTAGAGGTATTACCGTAATAAATACGATGAGGGAATCTGCTTCGTCTTCCTCTCAATTCCCATTCATATTGCTCATTCTCTCTACATTTACCCTTCAAGGCTTCAACCAAACTCCGATTAATTTCTCACAGTAACATCAATACCAACAAAACGACAGCGATAGGGTTTTAGATAGACATCGTCCGTCTCAGGCAGTTCAAAGCAATCAATCTTTGCCGGTGAGGGAAGAAGTTCGCCGGCGGGAAGGAAAGATGCTAGCAAACGGGAGATACCATTTAAGGGATATCTCATATCCAAATTCTTCAACCAATTTCGTTATTCCCATTTCTGCCTCGCTGTAAGATTGATGTTTTTGCACCAATTTTGGGTCTACCTCAATTCTTTAATAGAGACTTCAAATTTATTTGTTTGTTTATCTAAATATTGATTAAACTCCCGGGTGGACACGGTACGGTTCCGGTACCGCCACCCCTTGGTACCGGTATCGTGACCGGACCGGCCGGTTACGGTTCCGGTACCGGACGGCCACTCCCAATTTTTTTTTTACTTTTTTATTAAATTTTTAAAGTATAAAATTGTAAATGTGTAATTATTAAAGGAAAAAATGAAATAAAAAAAATTAAAAATGCAATTGATAAAGGAAAGAATGAAATAAAAAAAATTTAAAAATGTAGTTGTTATTTAAATATTGTAAATAAAAAAATAGTATCGGAACCGGTACCGGTATCGCCGGTACCAGTACCGAAAAATGGGTACCGGAACTGGTACCGAGGGAGGCGGTTCCGGTACCGGTTCCCGGAACCGGTGGAACGTCCCGACCGGCGGTGACGATGGCGGGTCCCTGCGGTATCGGTACCGGTCACGGTACCGTACCGGTACCGTGTCCACCCACTATTGGTCCTTCAACTTTATGAGTTGCGCATAATTTGTCCTTTAAGTTTCAAAATTTCATAAATAGTCCTTCAACTTTACAAGTTGTGCATGATTGGTCCGACAAGATAAACGTTAAAACTAAATGGAGTACTAGCTCCATATAATACGGAATAGTCGTACCTATTGGAATTTACTCGTATTATATGGAGCTAGTATTCTATTTAACTTTTAATGTTTACTGTCAACAAAATCTCATCTTGTAACGACCCAAAAACCGGCTTAGTAGTTAGCCGCGATTTTAATAAAAATAAGTATAATATTTATTTACTCTAAAATATGAATTATTTGTAAAGTTATCCGTTTTAAATGGAAATTGGTTTTCGAATAGATCTCGTAAAATGGTGACCAATGGTATATAATTTGTTAAATTTGGACATACGTGTAAAGGGTGGTGAGTTAAATAGATGTTACAGTTCAATTGATAAATGAAAGAATGAAATGTATTATATGGAGCTAGTATTCTATTTAGCTTTTAATGTTTACTGTCAACAGAATCTCATCTGGAGAACTGAAATGTATTTGAAGGATTACTTATAGACTTTTGAAATTTGAAAGTCTAATCGTGCACAATCCATAAAGTTGAAGGACTGCTCATGTACTTTTGAAATTTGAAAAACCAATCGTGCACAACTTATAAAGTTGATGGACCAATAGTGGAGTGCATCTAAATTTATCATATGTAATTTTTTTTTTTTGGGGGGGGGGGGGAGATGACAAGAAGAGCTAGTAAATTTGATCCAAGAGGATTGCTTTTAGATGTTCCAATTCTAGTAAACAATAAAAATGAATATCCTTTTTTGGACATGCCAATTCTAAGAACTATTTTAAATGTTCTAGAAATTTCTTTTTGTATAAGATTCTTTTTTGAATGTTTCAATCTTTTTCATTTCATTTTTTATTTTATAATAATAATAATAATAAACTCTAAGATCATTTGTTAATTACAATAGTGTTAATATATACTCCCTACTTCACCCAATTTTTTGTCTACTTTGAAATTGGCACAATAACCAAGATGAAATTGTCTACTCATGTATACATGAAAAAAAAATCATCGCCATCAACTCCTCTTCCTTGGAAGCAAAGAATTTAAGATGATGTGAGATCTAGGGTCATCAAATTGCAAACTAGTCAGACCTAGAATCATCCAGTTTATCTGCCTTTTTTTGCCAGCACCAACGCGAGAATCTCATCACTGGCAACACTCTTGGCGACTTTGATGAAAATCTCTGATACAGACAAGTNATACGGATATGGTAATTGTATATCCGATCCGTTTAAAATCCGATCCGAATATACATCCGTTTAAATAACCGTTTATCAATATCCGTTTATCCGAATACCGAATAATTTTTTGAATAAATATAATCCTAGTATCAAGTATTTACATAGTTTACCATTACTAATTTATTTGTTAATTCCCAATATGTTACCCTATTATGTAAAAAAAGAAAAAGCCCACAAAGAAATTTTTAAGAAAAAAAGGAAAAAACCTACTTCAAAACATGTTAACAGGTTTGGTATATTGTGGGTTTTGAAGTATGAAGCAAGTGAAATAACTTGCAATTTCGGATGCATCAAAGATTATCTTCTTGAGAGAATTTTGAGATGTATTAAATACGATTTGTACTTTATCGATTAGAAATGGGGGCTTTCCCTGCATGTGTAAACACCTCACAAACCATTCCTTTATATGTAACTTTAAATTACAATTTCTCCAAAAAAGCAAGTCGGAGTAGCTTACTCCGTTTGGGATTTAATTTTCTCCCAAAACGGAGTAGCCAACTCCGTTTCAATTTTTTGATTTAAATGCCAAATGGATTTAGCTAATCAGTTCCAATACTTTTTATTTTTGATTGCTTTCTTTTTTGGCTCGGTTCCACTAGTCCATTTTTTTTGTTTGGCTACTCCATTCCATTATTCCATTTCTTTTTTGCTAATAGAGTTGCCTAATCCATTTAGCCATTAATTACTTTTTTGATAGTTTTCTTTGTCATTAAATCACCTTCACTCTTTTGTTCCAACTTTTTTTACTTTAATTTTTTTTTGATACTTTTCTTTGTCATTAAATTATTGGAAAAATTTATATAAATATTCCCAGAAATTCAGAATTTTACAATAATACTCCCAAAATCAAATAAAGACTCCTATGCTCCCAATTAAATTTTATGTTTACATGGTTACTCCCATTGTGCCTATTCAATCTTTCTTACTTTTAGGTGTCATTAAATGAGCTTAGTTGGCAAATTTGATTTGTATTTTCTATTTTAAGGAGTAATAACCATTCGCGAGTTCAAAAAAATACGGAGTACAGTATAATCAAAATTTATCCATCTCCATTCTTCATACCCAAGGTTCAACGGTAAATCTTTACGAATGACTTTTCTTCAGTCTTCATATCACATATAGTCTCTCTCATAAGAAAAGATGTCAATTGTTTATGATGTTTTATTGAGAAACCATCGAAAGCAAGGATTTGCTTCAAATTTGTGGAGTTCTTCGGGTCTTCATCTTCATCAAACAAAGAAAGTCATCCGGGTCCGAATTGCAAGCATAATATTTGTGCTAATATGTATGTCCCTCTAAACCCCCCCTATTATGGGAAGAGAGGTAAACTATAAATTGATTAAGCACAGTCAATTAATTATATGTAACAGTAATTAGAAAAATTGATTAAGCAAAATGGGAGTAATGATGTAAACTTAAAACTTAATTGGGAGCATCAATGTCTTTATTTGATTTTGGGAATATTATTGTAAAATTTCAAATTTCTGAGAGTAATTGTATAAATTTTTCCTAATTTATTTTAAATTAATAATACATAAACTTAGACATAACAGAAATTAATGACATAGCTACATGTTCGTGCATTTAAATTCATCGTAAATGTCTCCTGCTGAGTAATGTAGGATGATTCATCCAACACCACAGAGTATATCTCTTGTTGTGCGTGGTACTTCACAACACGACAGTAAAGCCTATTTTCTTCATTTTTTAATATGTTTTCACACACTCATAGGAAAATATATTGTACATAAACATCCTTATACTTGACGTATAAGTGAGTTCCATCCACTAAAATAATTGGAAGATAATAGTAAAATCCATCTATGAATGCGTTGAAGGACCAGAATACATACCTGAACTAAAAACAAATTGGTGAATCATTGATTGTGCTTGCAAATCAACAACAGTTCCATGGTTTAACCCCATAATCTGGTCTACATTATCATATATGGTCATATACATTACTAAAAAAGTATAGTAATTTGCACATGTACACTACCACATTACAACATGACCAAGTCACATTACCACAGTGCAAAGTCCTATTTTGAAAAAAATAACATGAAAGTCCTAATTTGGTACTTTTTTTCTATGTTTTAATTCTATTTATGGTGATTTCTATAAAATGTATTAAAGAAAATGAAAATACTAAATATAATGGCTACCGGTAAATTGTTTGCATACATTACTGAAATAAACAAGTAAAGTTTACATACATATATACTCCCTCCGTCCCAAATTATTTGCCACATTTGTATTCACTAGGCAAAATATCAAGTTTTTTCAATTCATTTTATTTACATATTGGTATAAAATAAAAAAATAAAATTTATATATAAAAAAACTATATGAAAAGTTCTTTGAAATAAGAGGTATCAAGAATATTTATTTTATCAAATAACCAATGAAAATGTCGAAATAAACAAAAGTTCCCGCGACTACTGAAAAAGCAAATGTTGTGAATATTTAGGAACGAAGGGAGTATAAACAAAGTTTTACATATATTGGTCATTTGCTCAAGTATACTACATCTGTCTCGCTATATTTGTCCACTTTGACTTTTGGAATGGTTCATCTAAGCACTTTGATTCATCAAATTTTCTCAATGTGTAAGCTTAAATATAGTCATGTGTGATTTTGTTTGATTTGTCTTAACATATAGATTATTAATATATAATTTTTATAATTTTTTAATATACAAATTACAAGATAAAATGGAATAAAGAAGTGTATTAAATGATGTATAAAAATAAAAGTGGATAAATACTCTGGGACGGATGGACTATGCATGAAAGGAAAATATTGTATTCTTTACAAAACAACACAACAAAAAAGAAAAGAAAAGAAAAAGCAAGGAAAATGGGTGGATGAGAATGAATTATGTAAAGGGAGAGATTTTTTATTTTGGTGTCAGCGTAGTAGCCTAGTGGAGTAGTAGGGATGGGAATCATGGGATATAGATAAAATGGGTGGGAATAAAATAGACACGGAGTAGGGAACTCCGTTTTGTTAATTAATTCAAGAAGAAACGGAGTTACTAACTCCGTATGGCATTAATAGGAAATTTTTTTTCTGACTTACACTGTCAGGAATGCAATATTTTCTTTTTACATATACCGGTCATTTACTCATTAAAAATTTATATTTTTGTTCGTATTATTAGATATTTGGTAAAATATTGACTATTGTTTTTTTGTATCCTAAAGTTTTTTTTGGTATTAATGTATTATGGACTTCAATTACAGTTTTGGACTGTGTTTAATTTATTTATAAATAGATTTGGATATCTAATTGAATTTTTTAATGGACTCAGATATTTTCAGATTCGGTTACTTTCGGATATCTAATCAGATTCAGATATTCGGTTACTTTCGGATATCTAATCGGATTCGGATATATCCGAAACTGATAATTATCCGCCGGATACGGATTCGGATATAGTATAATAAATATCCGCCGGATACGGATTCAGATATTCCTAAACTTAAACGGATACGGATTTGGATATGCCATATCCATAACGGATATTATCCGTTTACACCCCTATCGAGAGTCCAAATACTAAGGGAGGGGAAGGATAAGACACAACGTAGATTGAGAGTGGTATGCTGGAGGGGTATAATAGACTTTGCAATTTTCTTCTAATTTATGTATCCATATAAGGGAAGTGGATAAGTATCGAGTGCAATTTTCTTCGGCTATAAATTTTCTTTTCATTTTGATTTTTTTTAATTAATTTTTTGAACTATAATATAAATTTAATATAAATAGATTAGTTTAGAACATTATATTTTTGTATTCCGGTAATATGTCTATATATAATCAAGATATTAAGTTGAAAAATGTGAGAAATCAAATAAATTTTTTATGGGGTATGAAAAAAAGAAAAAAATAGAGACATCTTTGATAAATTTATTAGAAAATTAATGAGATGATTCGAAATTTGATTATTAATAATTAATACTCCGTATATATTTATTATTAAATACGAATGCCGAACCATCTCATCAATCTATTAATTTTTTTGAAAGATATTACATGAGTTAGCGGTTTTGAGACCGTGATACCTACTCCCTCCGTCCCAGAGTATTTGTCCACTTTCATTTTTACACATCATCCAACGTACTTCTTTAATTCATTTTATCTTGTAATTTGTATATTAAAAAATTATAGAAATTATATATTAATAATCTATATGTTAATACAAATCAAACAAGAACACATATGACTATATTTAGGCTTACACATTGAGAGAATTTGATGAGTCAAAGTGCTTAGATAAACAGTTCCAAAAGTTAAAACTGGACAAAAAAAAGAGCTGGAGTGAGGGAGTATTTGTTAAGAAGAGATATTCGTAAAATAAATACGATGTGGGAATCTGCTTCATCGTCGTCTTCCTCGCAAACCCCATTCTTATTGCTAATTCTCTGTACATTTACATGCTTCAACCAAACATCGATTAATTTTTAATCAACGAAACGGCAGTGATAGGGTTTTGTTTTAGATAGATATCGTGTCAGGCAGTTCGAAGTAATGAATCTCTGCCTCTGAGGGAAGAAGCGCCGGCGGGAAGGAAAGATGCTAGCAAACGGGAGATATCATTTCAGGGATTTCTCATCCAAATTCTTCAACCGATTTCGTTATTCCCATTTCCGTCTCTCTGTAAGATTGAAGTTCTTGCACCAATTTTGGCCGTAACTCAATTCTATGATAGAGACTTCATTGGGAGTTTTTGTTCCAAATTAGCAGAATCGCTAAAATATTTTCTTGATTTGCTTTTGGGTTTGCTCTTTTGGATTCCCTTATGCTGCTTTATCATTTATGTGTTGTAGCTGGAAGTTGGCGTCGAAAAAAATTGAGTTAAATGATTTTGATTCTAGAGCTTGAAGTTGCATAAAATTGCTATTGCTATACGTATTAGCATACATTCTTTAGTTGAGTCCCCATTTACATTGTTATTAACTTATTATAGTATACTACCTGTCGGCTGTCGCGATAAAAGAAAATCACATTTTGATTACCAACTTAATTCAATGATTTTACTTGTGCTTTCAAATTTATTTGTTTGTTTACCTAAGTTTATCATATGTAATTTTTTTTTGGGAAAATGACAAGAAGAGTTAGTAAATTTGATCCAACAGGGTTGTTTTTCTTACCAAAGAATGTTTGAATTTTGACCTACTTTAACAGAATGAGTGCCATTTTCACCTTTTACTGGTATATTTTTCTGTCGGGATGTTTTATTTTTAATTTTGTAAGTCGAATATTACAGGCGGGCAAATCCAATGCATATTGTTCTATCAAGGCACTTCATGATGTTGGACAGCCTACTGCTGCCACTCATCCTCAGGTATCTGTGCTTTATATTTTATTGTCACTTTTGTGAAATCAAAGCTGGAGTGGCATTTTTTTAATTTGGAAAATAGACATGAGCCTAATAAACCTAGGGTCCTGTTTCAAGTTAACTGTTGTTGAGTTTATAGCATTGTATTTTTACTATTTTCTGTTACTCCTTCCATCCCAATTTAAGTTGCCTATTTACTATTCACAGGATCAAACTTTAGCCACATTCTTTACCCATTTTCATTACCCATTTGATAAAATAATAGTCTTGTCACCTATGGTTTTGTAGATCTTTTGATGTAGTGTTTAAATATGAAAATTTTATTTTTTAATTCTATACCAATTTTCAACTAAATTGAGTTGAAACTAATTTCAGTCAAACCTCGTAAAAAACAACAGACCATTTAAATTGGGACGCAGAGAGTATTATGTTTACTGCTCCTGTTCAGTTTTTTCTGAATAATTGCATTGTTTCTAAACGTAGTTACTAAAGGAAGGTGAGATTACTCCTGGCATTACTAGTCAAGAATATGACATGAGAAGGAAGAGATTACTAGAGCTTCTACCCAAGAAAAGTTTGGCCATATTTGCATCTGCTCCGATAAAAATGATGACTGATGTTGTACCTTATGCGTACCGGCAAGATGCTGATTACTTATATATAACTGGCTGTCAGCAACCTGGTGGCATAGCAGTCTTAGGTCACAATTGTGGTTTATGCATGTTCATGCCGGAAGGCAATGTTCATGTAACCTCCATTTTTTTACCATAATTGTTTATACTTAATTGTGTAAACTCCACAGTTTATTTAGCAGAAAACCTCTTATTCGTAACAGAATTGTACAATGACATGTATCATTGAAATTGGATTTGAACTATAGTGCCTGTTTGAATGTCATGTGCTTATACACACTTTTATTGAAATTTCTAAATTCAAATATCTAATAGGATGTGATCTGGCACGGAGAAGTTGCCGGGGTGGATGCTGCTCTACAGATATTCAAGGCTGATCAGGCTTACCCTATTAACAGATTAGAGAAGGTAAACTGATATGCCTCTGTCCCTTTTTTATAATTTTCTTAAATTTCATTTAAATAGAGAAGCAGAAAGGTAGGAGCTATGGAACCAATCAATTTTTTTGTGCAGGAATAGTATTCCCAAACATGATCACTGATAAAACATCATGATGTCCTTGTGTTAGTTTGAATTGGAAAGTTGTTTTCCAGTTTCTGGAAAACTAGAGAACTTTTGAGTCATCACTGTGGCTATCCCTAATGGGAGGTCACAAGTTCGAACCCGTTGAGAAAGTATGCATGAACAAAACTACATTGTAATTGAATTATTAGTGCTCAAAAAAGAAGAGAACTTTCAAGTCAATGAAGTCCCTGAATTTTGTAATCTATATTTAAAATATGATTAAAATGTATGGTCTATAAGTTTTTACTCTTTGTCAGGTTGGCTCAACTTCATACATTATTACACCCTCACTTGCTTTGCATTTTCTTCTGACATATATTTTAATGGCGTCAGATACTCCCTACGATGATTCAAAGTTGTTCTAATGTATTCCACAATGTTAAGACTGCTACATCAACATATATGGACCTAGAACCATTTAGAAAAGCACATCAGAGTGGTGTGGTAAAAGATTTATCCATTTACACTCATGAAGCACGATTGGTCAAATCACCTGCTGAGCTTAAATTAATGCGAGACTCTGCATCTATTGCTTGCCAGGCAAGTTGTTTTTGTTTTCTTATTTTATTTATTAACTTTCTTTTAATGTTTTGTAAAGAAAACCTTTTTTTGTGAAAGATTGAACACCATCTATCTGTAATTTGCTCTCTTGTTTTCCTTTCTACGGTCTGCATGAGGCTATGAAATGTTTGTTGCAGATGTGCGATTGAAGAATCCTTAGGCTATGAATTGTGTGTTGCATATTTGCAATTGAAAACTTGTTCATTATGTTTCGCTTGTTAATTTTAATTTTGGACATGGCCCTTCATCCCATATCTACTTAAAGTATAAATGATGTTTGGAATATTGGTCATCAATATTTCCCGTTGTCTAGATGCTGAACCCCTTTATATATATTGTACCTTGTTAGAGTGTCCCACATTAGAATACGCAAGAAAACTGATGTCTTGATAAGATATTGGGTTGAAACTAGTCTTGGGCTTCTGCTTTGCCCCACTGGTTCTGTTGTCACATTGGCCTCGTCAGCTTTGGGTTTCCATTTGAATCAGCCATGCCTTCCGAATCTCCCTTATTTTTTCTCCCGTTCCCACCATGGAACTCAGAATTTGAGAAGTCCTCCAAGCCTTCTGCAGTGGCTATGACAGTCGACAAATCCTTCACGGGCAGCCTCCTCAACTCCATTTGGGCCCACAACTGCAACCCAAACATGAAGCTTTTTGAAAATATATTAAGAGAGATGGAGCTGAGCCTTCAATTCCTTCTTGAGTCCCTCACAGGACTCAATCCCACTTCGGCATCATCCGTCACCCATCCACAATGCCAGAGCTTAGCATCACTGGGCAAGTACATTGGTGAAATCAAGACCTTTTCTCATTCCGGTACTTTGGCTGCCTTGAAATACTTTTCCATATCCCATAAGAACTTTTCAAGTTCCTTGCTGTTTCTGGCACCATCAAACAATTTCAATTCTAGGACTTTGATCTTTGATATGCCGGCATTCTGGTTTGGATATGAGCCTCCAGCAAAGGCCTGTTTCAGGATTTCAATTTCCATCTTCAGAGAATCCTTCTGTCTGGAGCGCATTTACGTTCCTCATAAGGCACTCAACTCGTCTCTGCACCAGCTTGAGGTCTGCTGCCATCAAACGTGGACTGAATGAGCCAGCATTATAAACGTTTTCATCCTCCAAATATGTTGATGCAACATTTTTGTCAATGTGTCCAGGGACAATTCATCTTGGGGTTTTGCAACGGCTCTGATACCAATTGTTACGGTCGCACAGCCAATCTTGACACTCAAGATATTTAGTCTTCCTTTTGATGAACAAACAAAGAACACTTGAAAGAAATTCCTAAAACGAAGGCAAACAATCAACCTTGTATTAGTCCAATCAAGTCATTGCCGAATTCTGGCACTTAGATTTTGCATGTCTAACTCTCTTCTCGCTTTGTTTGCTGACCAGGCACATATGCTAACACCATTTATTTATAGGTTACAAAATCTGGTGGTTACCGGTCAACCACCTAGCCAGACCTGCCCATCCACGAAGGGATGCGAAGGCCAGCTGCCCAGTTGCCCCTTGAATTTCAAACTGCCAGTTGACATGCCTTATCTGCCAGGTGGCTCTTTGCCAAAGCCTTGCCAACTCATTGTTTGAAGTGCGTCCCACGCTGTGCCGCACTGTCACGAGCCATCCGTGTTAACTTCTGTTTTCACCGAACCAATTGTAAGTCCTGTTGTCTCGCAAGCCTGACCAAGCTTGCCAACGACTTCCCAACTTTTGGTTCATGTTGAAAGCACACCAACATCGACATTCCTTTCTCAAAGTCATTGTCACGGAAAACTTGACAAGCCTTCACTTTTAAAGCATTGTTTTTGTCTTGCTAACCTCTTGTGTGCCTGACCCAATCCAAGCCATACCATTGGTCTTGTCTAAGTCATCCACTCTCAACAAATAACCAACATTGCTCCTCGTAACCAAGTGATGCCACCCAGATGAATTTGATACTCCCTCTGTCCCAATTTAAATTGTCTGTTTTGGTTTATGATGTTTGACTGAAGATATTTTCAAATCATTTTATATGAAAAACGGTGTAGAATTAAAAAAATAAAAAATATATATTTAAAAAACTACATCAAAAGATCTACAAAACTAGTAATGACATGACTATATTGTTTTATCAAATGACTAACAAAAATAGGGAAATAAAGTGAATGAAGTTTGACTTTGTGAATAGTAAACATGCAATTTAATTTGGGACGGAGGGAGTACAACTTTGGTTTCCATCAACCCAAAGTCCGCCAAACCTTGCCAACGCCTTAGGCCTTAACATGGTTAAGCCATCGAATTTTAGGGTTGCAATGTTGTACAACCCCAGTAGCCTGTGTTTTTATCTCACTTGTCCTGGAAGGCCTCTGGTTGTGACACATTTAACATGATCTTCGTTTGGAAGTCTAACCGCAGTGGCCTGTAGTATTTTAGATGGTGTCACTATATTTCTAATTTTCGTTTCATGGAGATAGATGCGAGTGCTCATTAATTTATACTCAAAATGACTTGATTGTCGTCCTGAACGACCTGAAGGGAGTTTAGTGTGTCCTACATCAAAATATATAAGAAAGAATGATGTCTTAATAAAATTTTTGATTGAACTAATTAATTGATTGAATTCAATCTTGTATTGTTGTTTGACCACGTGTCATGTGGGTGAGCTTAGTGACCCACAATCGAATGTTAAATTCTATCATACCTTGACTAAGAGTTATGAAAAAAGGTGGTTTTGGGAGATTTTGTATGTATGACATCAAAACCATTATCCTTGAGTCCATTATTTACTTTCCTCTCATTTTTAATGAACATGGGTTGCACATATGTAATAACAAAAATTGTATTTAAAGGGTAAACATGACCTCAATCCTATTGATCTTCTTCCAAAAATCCATTTGAACAACATTTCTGCTTTTAGTGAATTTAATGAATTATAAATCACCTTTTGTGCTCTATGCTTTCTCTGCTTTATGTGCGTTCTGTGCACTTGTGCTATCTGTGTTATCCGTGTTACAGAGCTGGGGTCTCTTGGAACCAGCCTCCCTTCTTTCGAGTAGGGGTAAGGTCTGCGTACACATACCCTCCCCAAACTCCCTACTCTTTGTGGGATTCAACTGGGTTGTTGTTGTATAAATCACCTTTTCATCTCCCTTGTAATGTGTAATAATTAAGTTCTTACATGTATAGGCTCTTATAAAAACAATGTTGCATTCAAAGATATATCCTCATGAGGGTATGCTCTCAGCAAAGTTTGAATATGAATGCAAGATGGAAGGTGCTCAACGGATGACGTAAGTGTATTTTTGTTTTGGAAAAATGCTCAAAGTCTATCTGTGACAATAATTAGACCATGCTTCAGCTATACTATTTTCTTTTCACTTTTCTTTAATGTCCGTCTTTACTCTTTAGACGGTACCAAAGATCTAAGCTTTAAATGTGCACTCCTTCCGTCCTAAAAAGAAACTCCTACTCACTATTCACAAGTCAAACTTTGACCACTTTCTTTGCCTATTTTCATTACTCATTTGATAAAATAGTTTTGTCACCTCTTGTTTGTAGGACTTTTGATGTAGTTTATAAGTATGAAAAATTATTATTTTTATTTTACCCGAGTTTTCCTATAAATTTAATTGAAATAACTAATGTCAAGCATCGTGACTCACAAGAGGAAAGTCTTCCCGGGATGGAGGGAGTAGAAGGTAGTAACAGTAATGATTTCCATGATTGGTCAAAACTGGACATTCTGATTCTTTCCCTATTCCCTTATGAATGAGTGATTTCTCTCTCTCAGGTTCAATCCAGTGGTTGGTGGTGGGCGTAATGGCTGTATTATTCATTATGCTCAGAATGATCAAAAGGTGACCTAGTGCTTTTTATAAGTGCTTTGTTGGATTGGCAGATTTAACAAGTCTGTGTCCTTTGATAGATTGAAGATGGTAACCTTGTTTTGATGGATGTTGGGTGTGAGCTGCATGGTTATGTTAGTGATCTTACTCGGACCTGGCCACCGTGTGGCCACTTTTCTCCCGTTCATGTATGTAATTTACTTGGATATTCACACAATTTCTCTGTTTTTTATTCCAGCCTTGTCGCATACCTTGATAATTGAGCAGCACTAATGCAATGTACTCTTCAGGAAGAACTTTATCATATTATTTTAGAGACAAACAAGGAGTGCATCGATATGTGTAGACCTGGCACAAGCATTGAAGAAATACACAACTACTCGGTAATATTTTGATGGTGAAGTCCCGATACACGCGTTTTCAGTTTGTCATTGAATTGGAAAGAAGTGAAAAATGGATCTAGGGTTTGTTTTTTAACAATCAATCTAGTATATAAGAGCTATTAAAGAACACATTTGTTAATGTACACTGCGAGTCTGCGACATATCCCCATTTTAGCAAACAAGGTGGTGGTGGAGAGGTGTGGGGGGTAGGCATTTGCCTTCGCCTTAAATGTTACATGGCTTAGTGATCACTTGATTTGTGAATTGTGATAACAGTTCTGCATACTTTCTTTCATCACTTCTGTTATTTACGATCAGGATCTTAGGTAGGATGTAATGCTTCGAGATTTAAACAGATACATTTGTATGATTTTTTTGAAAGCCAAATCACACCTTGTGGAATGACCTTTTTTGGATTCCATATTCATGTTGTACTTTCATATCTGAATATTACTCTTTGAATACATGCTTAGTTTATAATTTCTTGACACAGGTTAAAAAGATGTGGAAAGCATTCAAAGAAATTGGACTACTTAAAGATGATAAGCCTGAAAGATATTACTTTTTAAATCCAACCAATATAGGTCAGTTTTTAGATTTCTTGGTCTTGCACTTGACTCTATTGCACAAAGTTGCAAACAGTTTTTCCAATATTTTTCGTTACATGTTTATACTACCTTTCACCTTTAGATGCCTTAATTTCTACTAAAAAAAGAATTACAATTTTTTTTGGAACTTTTCAAGCTTTAAACGTCTTTCAAAACTTCCCTTAGCTGGTGGTCTTCACAGAAACAACCTCTTTACTCCTAGGAGTAGGGGTAAGGGCTGCGTACATCTCACCCTCCCTAAACCCTACTTCCGAGTAGGACGTACTTTTCATAGTTTCATAAAAGTGTTACAACTGCACTCATAGCTATACTGGGTTTGGTTTGTCAATTGAACCCACCCTGCCAAATCTCAGGTCATTATCTAGGAATGGATGTCCATGATTGTGCTACTGTGAACAACAAGAGGACTTTGAACCCTGGTGTTGTAAGCTGCCATCCTGACATAATTGATTAAAGATTCTCCCTTTCCTTTTATAACATGCTTGCACTAATATTTTTTTTCGGGACTATTGATTTTGCAACTTTGTGATGCATAGGTTATCACAATTGAACCAGGGGTTTACATTCCCTCTAATTCTGATGTTCCCAAAAGGTATAGTGTGTGAGAAAAATTATTTTGCCACCATTCTAGATTTTATAAGGGAGTACTCCATCGTCTCGTATCATGTTTGGAGATGAAGTTGGGTGAGGTGTAAGTTTGATTATACCATGGTATATCTAGAACACTAGAAGAGGGTTGGGACAGTGCCCTTTCCACCAGATTAGTAGGGTGGAGTCCTAAATGTGGATTATCAAAAAAAGGTTTCAAAATGAAGTGTAAAATCATCTTTGGCTATTTCCTTTCTGTACAGAGCTTTCAACTCTAAAACTTGATTTTAAAGGACTAGTCTACGATTCAGGTATCAAGGCATTGGGATACGAATTGAAGATGAAGTCCTCATCACAGAAACAGGCTGCGAGGTATACTTGAAGTGGTCACACGCTATTTCATTTATTTAATGACAGAATTGTTTTTTCTTTCATTACTCCCTGTGATAATCAATCGTATTGCTCTGTGTGGTGTATATTAATTTTATGGAATCAATTTTGCAATGCGGCATGGGTGCAACCCCTATCACCACTTATGGCCGTGTCTTGATATTTTTTTTCTATGAAAACCAAAGCAAAGAAATCCATTAAATCCCACTAAAGAATATGGTTAGGGTGAGTGTAGGCAGATCTTATATCTACCCCAAATAGTAGACTGTTTTAGGGTGGACCTCGAGGGCCCTGAAAACAGTGACATGTGATGTGGAAAACATTGTCTACTACGTTTACCCACATCATCTAGGACTTTAAATCCCTAATAGTCTAATAATGTCTCCATAAACCCTTAATCTCATGTCTTTAGAGGTTTTAAATCACCAATTCCAACCATTTGCCACCTTTAAGATTCAGATAATAAACAAATGTCTTCCAAACTGGTGCAGGTACTCACAGGATCACTACCCAAGGAGATCAAGCACATTGAATCCCTTCTGAACAATTTTAACAATGGAATGGAATCTCATTAACTTCACAAAAGCCTGCATCTTTTAGTTAGTGTTTCCTAGACGCTTTGTGCTTGAAGACATCAATGTGCAACAAAGGCTGTTTGGGATGACTTTTGGAACAGGTAAATTCTACTTGCTACATTCTCAAAGCAATATTTCTCTGTATTTGGTTTTTTTGCTTCTTGTATAAAGTATTTGCATTTCAGAAACCAATAAGTGTTTAGTGGACATGTCTCAAAAGTCCTGTTGTCAAATCTCTCCTTCTATGCTTGCGCGTACCCATAATAAAACAGTCATTTTTCACAAGAATGCAAGATTAGTAATCTTTTATTCTAGTAAGGGACAGCTATTGTCTATTGTAGATGATCAAATACAACTATATTTTTAAACTTAGTTTTTGGTTTAACTAAATTTAACATACACTACACTGTCAAAACAAAATTTAACATACACTACTTGCGTATGATATTTTATACTCCCTCCGTCCAAGTTGAAACTTCTCGTTTTGACTTGGCACGGATTTTAATGTAAAGTAAAAATTATTCTGACTTTCCAATTTTGCCCTCTATTTCCACCTTAGCTCCTGTGGACCTGCCCTCTTATTACCCACATAGTTCTTCTTCAACTTTAAGCCCAACACCCCCCCACCGTCCCTTTCTCCGTCAGAGTAGATCTGCGGCCGGAGTTGAACAGTGGATCTGTTTCCAATTCTTGAATCTTGTTTATTTACAAGTGTGAAAAGGAGATGAATAATTAATTAACCAACTAATTAATTACTGCATTAAACGGTTTCCTACCATACCCGAAAGTCTAGGAAATGAAAACACATCTACTGTATTTTTTGAACAAAGCGGAAGAAGACGGGTGGACGTAATTCAATCTCAGAAAAAAAGAGAGAGAGGGGATCAGAGTACGATAGAGAAGAAGAAACTCTCAGATCTGAAAAGTGTACCAAATCGGAAAGCTCTGCAGTAGATCTAAAAGCTCCACCGCGCAACTAAGATTTGAAAGACTTTTCAGATCTGAGAGTTTCATCCATCCCTTCACCACTACCCTTCACACCACCTGGGTGGGTTATCAGAAGAAGAAAAAGAGAGAGAGGGGGCAGGAGTATGACGTAGAAAAAAGAGGAAGAAGAAGAAAGAAGAAAGAAGAAGAAGAGAGAGAAGGAGAGATGGGGGAGTACAAAAGTACGGAGAAGTGGGGGAGTGAGAAAAAAAGTGAGGGTAAAAGAGTAACTTAAGGTGTATTTTCTTTCCATTTTAGGAAACGGGAAGAATCAAATGGGACGGCCTGAAAAGGAAAGTGAGAAGAAAGATATGGGACGGAGGGAGTATTATATTAAGAACATATTGAACATGATGAAACTATTTTCTTTATTTTCAAATGACTCTTTTTTGGAACAGAGATTTTCATATAGGATTTACTTTTGGGATGAATTAGTATAAAAAGTTGTGTTCCAAGGTACGCAGTTCATTTACAAAACAGAAGAATGAAGTATTGTGTAAAACTTTAACGGATATACTTTTTTTTCAAAAAGTAATACTCTCTCCATTCTATAAAAAGAACTCTGTTTTGACTTGGCACAACTGCTAGATTTAATCAATTATAGCTGTATCTTGAGTACTTTTATGTTGGTTACATTTATTTATTATATAAATTATGTTGGGATTTTAAGCTAAACAATGAGAAATATTGAGAACTCTAAAAAAAAGAGAACAAGCACAAAAGAATATATGAGATAATTTTTATTTCCACTATTTCAAAACAATATACAAAAACCTCTTCCTATTTACAAGGCAAAATACCAGACACTCACAATAAGACTTTTCCACATCCTATGCACCGAAGTGTTTTACCAAAATAAGACTTAGAATGCCAAAAAACACTAAAATACCAACACATAATGCCAAATTCTGTGCATTTGGTAGTGCCAAATTCCTATTTAGGGGATAAAACATAGGGTGTCTTAGAGCTTGTTCTCTTCGTCTGATCTGATTCCGATCTGATTTTATTAAGGTGTGATCTGATTGTAGTTATATTTAAAGATGTTTAAGATCTGATCTGTTCTGGTTCTAATAAGAATATAGGTAATACTCCACAACAATAAGTCGAAGAGAACAAGCTCCTAGTTTGGTAATAAGTTTCATGTTTTAGTTTAATTTATGTAGGTTTCTTTTGACTTTTTCGGGTTGGCTTTTGGTGTAACCAAAAGTAAAATTGCACTACGGTACAGTTCAGTTTTGGATTAATTTTTCAAACAGTTGGTTGTTCAAACAATTGTTTTGTTGTAATGGTAGTATACACACTAAGAGTATATTTTACATTATACGTTGAAATTCTTTATTATTTTTTTTTTAAAAAAACCTAATAAATAAAAAATTTGAAAGAGGTACTACACAAACCAAAGGAAACAGATGGAACAATAACATTTCGAAAATGGGTGTAAAACCGAAGTACTTCGTACTATTTTATTGACTGTTAGTTACTCCCTCTCTACCAACTTGTGTTGGGTTTTCATTTTATTGGTCTGTCTCAATTTATTGAGTATATTGTAGTGATGGGGCATTTGATATACTTTCATTAATGACTGCAGATATGAGAAGAGGCAACTGTATTCTTGATGTTTTCACTTCAATGGTAATATCTCCCTCTCCCAACCACTTTGGAAATGGTCCATTTCACTCGTGGTCCTTTTAGCATGGGATGATGAAATGTTTCCCTTCTTCTTGGATGGGAAACCACACATTTGGTTTGTGGCATTTATTATTCCCAAAATGTGACATCTTGGGTTACTCGTGGATTTGCCAACACTATGCTTGGTTCAAGAAATTTAAGAGGGAATAGAAAAGAAATTGAAAAGGAAAACATTTTTCTTGTTTGGTTAGAGAGGAAAAGAAAAGAAAAATGGAAGGAAAAGAAAATGACAAGGCAAAATGTACTAACAGTAGAAAAAACCAAACTTCTTCCATTTTCGTGAGGAAAATGAGGGAAAAATATTTTTTTTCCTTCCAAATTTCTTGAACCAAACAGTGTAAAGGGAAAAGAGAAAGAAAAGTTCTGCGAGGGGAGGGCAAAGAATATGTTATTAGCAAAAAATATAGTCCTTGAATTTTGTTTTGGATTTGAACATTAACGGTTGAGTCTATATTTTAGTCCAAAAATGGGATTTGTCCATGTTGATTTTTGCTTTCCTAGAATTGAATTTGAGATTAATATATTTTGTTAGGAGTACCAATTGGGGAAATGTTTATGTATAATTTTTAATCAATTAAATACAAGACACAAGATATATATATATATATATATATATATATATATATATATATATATATATATATATACATACACATACATACATACTCCCTTCGTCCACAAATAAAGTTTCTATTGCGCGTTACGATGTTTGATTGAAATTATTTTCAAATCATTTTATATGAAATATGGTATGGAATTAAAAAATAAAAATTACGTATTTAAAAACTATATGAAAAGATCTACAAAACTAGAGGTGACATGACTATATTATTTTATCAAATAAGGCACAAAAATAGGCCAATAAAGTGAATAATGTTTGACCCTTATATAGTGAACGGGAACTTTATTATTGGACGGGAACCAGTCAAACCGAAATTAACCCGGAACCGAACTGATCCGAACCGAACCGACCCGAACCGATTCTAATATATATCTGAATGAGACCCGAACCGAAGAGACTTGAACCGGAACCGAACCGATTGACCCGATTGCCAGATCTACAATGGTACGTATCAAATGTGAAGTATGGAGTATTATTGTTTTTCGGTGCCTATATGACACAAATGTGAAGTTGACTATTACCATTCATTTCCCCAACGACAACCTAAACCCATTTCTTCATTTATTTCATACTTTATTACATTAATTATGCAGACAATAAAGAACATGGGATCTCGCAACATATCCGGAGCGTACCTTCCACATTTGAAATGATAAAATACTCCCTCCGTTCCTAATTTGATTATAAATTTTTTTTCCCTTTTCTCGATAACTTTTGTTTGTTTACGTGATTTTATTAAGTATTTGATAAAATAAAATATTCTTGTCACTTCTTGTTTTGTAGAACTTTTGACGTAGTTTTTTTAATATGTAATTTTTATTTCTTATTGATATAACGATTTATAAATAAAATGATTTCAAAGAGTGAGATAATTCTCCTCGTAAACCCCAATTTCTAATCAAATAGAGGACGAACGAAGTATGTTTTTCACCATGTCTTGTTTTTTATAGAATTTTTTTTATTTTTTAATATCTAAATTGTATTTTTTATTACTATGCCAAATAATAAGTAAATTTACCCTTTAAAAAAATAAATTTAAAAGACAAATTTTGTATGCAATTCAAAGTGTTAAACAAATATGGGACGGAGAGAGTACTTAGACTTCTGGATAAATATATACTAACCTTTTGAGTTTCGACACCAATGATAGATCTAGAATTAAAAATTGTTGGGAGCACATTTTGATCCAGTGGTTTTTATAAATCAATTAGAAAATTAGAACAAAAAAATATAAAAGTCATTTCAAATGTCTATTCAAGTACCCTCTTTGTCTGGCCTACACATTCTTTACATGCTCAAACTTTATTCACTTTTTTTCCCACTTATTTTTGTTTGTCTTTGGAAAAAAGAGTACTCTGAAAAACTAAAGACTAAAGATGTTAATGTAATAAGTGCAGACATAATTAATGTAATAAAGTAAGAATAGGAGTATATATTCATGTCTGCACTTATTTTGTAGAATTTTTGTTGAAGTTTTTCTTTAGTCTTTGTCATTAAAGACTAAAGAAGTTGTGCTCAAGAAAATTTCTACTAACCTATTCCTACTAGGATTGGGTTTGGAGAGGTGTATACAAACACAACAAATCCCTGGAAATTCTGGGAGCGATTATGACGGAAAGTGCAGAATGCATGTTTATCTAAGAGGATTTTCGTAGCATCCTGGAGCCATCCTTGCGTGAAGATGTTAAGATCCACATGAACAAGAGCTTCAACGAGAAGTCATCGTAACATCTAAAAGATGAATCTGGGCTAAACAAGAGGGATGCCAACCATATATGTCATTGCGATCTTGGTGGAGATGTGATATCCAAAGCATACTCGTATAGGGTACGAGTTAGAAATCCTATATTAAAAGTTTAATCATAACAATTCAAAAAAGCATGTTTCGTCATGTTGTTATGCAACGGTATAACTTGCATCAAAGAATTTAGTCGAGGATTATTACATAGACGTGAGACCAATGGAGTACGAGAGAATATCTGTAGAATAAAGTTTGATAAAGTACTTTCTCCGTCTCCAAAAATATTTGACTAGTTTTTACTTTTTTTGTTAACTTTTTGTACACATTGATTACAAATAGTAAGATTATTCAATTATAATACACACTTTATCTAATTGAGTTAACTTTTTGGGTAATGCTAGAGGCACAAATAAAACACTTATAAAATACACAAATTTACCATTTGTGTATTTTAATCTTTATTTTTAAATTATTTAAGACCATTAATTTCAAACCATTACTTTACATTTTGGGTAAGTTTGTGCATTTTGTGAATTTTTAGTTTGTGACTCTAGCATTTGATATTTCATATTTTAGACCCATCAGAGTAACATTTATTTATATAAAATTATATTTATTAATAATTTAAGTGGTAGAAAATTGACTTAAAGAATCAAAATTGGAAAGAGTTTTTTTTGGGACAAAGGAAATACTTGTTAAATATATGTCCCCTCCATCCCAAATTAGAGAATTTTCCATAAATAAATCTTTGGGCCACTTCTCGATTATGACCATGTTTGGAAAATGGCATTTCGTTAGACTTTTAACTTCTTTGACTGATTTTAGTTATTTTGACGAATCAAGCTCCACAACCAAACAATTCTCCCACTTGGAGAATGATCTAGCCATCCAAGAATAACATTCTCAAATAAAAAATGTCTCTTCATCATCAATGTCTTTACGCACCGCAACATTTGTAGCAACAACTACAGAAGACCAACCGAGGTCTTGCACAATCTCAATTTCCCAACATCAACACATTTCGTCAACATGTCTGCCGAGTTCTTTACACCCTCTATCTTCTCAACACCTACTCAGGCGTCACGTGCTCCACCTCAGGTTCTTCAGCAATAGTCTCTCGAGATGGTTGAGTTTTTCATTCAACATCTCTCGGGGTACTCTTTTCCGACTCAACCTTAACTCCCACTTCCTTTGTAGTCTCTAAAACCTTTTGCACTCTGTCCTTGTAAAGGACAGACTCATCAAATGTCACGTCACAATGTCTCAAGATCTTTCTATTTTGTCATCTCAAAACCTATAACCTATGAAGTAACACTTCACAGCCTATGAAGTAACACTTCACAGCCTTGGCATCAAGCTTATATCTCTTATCTCGATCAACATAAACATAGGCAGTGTAACCAAAAGTCCTCAAGTATGGTCCCTTGTTGATCAAGTATGAAGTTGTGCTCACAGCATCAACACAAAATGTTTTGGGCAGCCCATAGTGTATCCTCATACTCCTTGCACGCTCATTCAATGTTCCGTTCATCCTCTCACCAACTCTATTCAGCCTTGCCTTACCAGGAATTGTTCTCATCAATCTAATTCCCTCAACTGCATAGAACACCTTGAACTCCAACTTGTCATACTCTCCTCCATTATCATACCACAAACATTTGGTTTTCAGCCTAGTCCGATTCTCAACCTCAGCTTTCCACTTCTTGAACGTTGTAAAAACATCTGACTTATGCTTCAAGAAGTAAACCCATACTTTCTTGCTGAAATCATCAATGAAGGTGACATAAAATCTAGATCTTCCAAGTGATGAGACCGGATATGGTCACCAAACATCTGTATGGACCATTTCCAACTGCGGTTTCTTCGGCTCTCTTGATGTCTTTTTGAAGCTAACTCGTTTTTGTTTGCCCCTAACATAACTCTCACAAAGACCCATACCAACAGACTTCAAGCCCTCTAATTCTTCTTTTGCATCCAATATCTTCATTCCTTTAACGCTCATGTGTCCAACTTGGTCATGCCACTAACTCGAACCAAAAGCACCATCAGCATCGACAGCCATGTTAATACACCATGCAGTGGTGTACAAAGTTCCAAATTTTGTGCCTCGTGCTACAACCATAACACCTTTTCCAATCTTCCAGTAAGTTTTCCCAAACCTTGCTGCATAGTCCGTGCTATCCAGCTGAGGAATATGGATAAGATTTTTCTTGAGACCAGGAATATGTTTGACAATTGACATCTTCTAATGTCCACTGATTTCCTTCTGGTGTTTTTATGCAGACATCCTGTTTTCCTTCAATCATCAAGGCCTTGTTATCAACAAGAAACACCTTTCCAAATTTTTCAGATTTGAAATTTTGGAATAATTCTTTGCTTGGTGACGAATGGAATGATGCACCAGAATCCAAAATCCAGGATTCAACCAGATTGTCCACACTAAGGATTAGAGCATCCCTAATGTTCTCTGCTGAATTTACAGAATCATTATTGATTCTACTTTTTCTTAGGCTTCTTACCGAATTTTTGATTCTACTTTTTCTTAGGCTTCTTACAATCTGCCCGAAAATGTCCCTTGTCTCCACAACTCCAATAAGTTATGTTCGATCTATTCAGCGACTTTCCTCAATTCTTTGATTTTGATCGGCCATGTTGATGTTGGACTTTAAACAGAAATTGGATCCATCAAACTTCTCAATTGCAAGCTTCAAACTCTCCATCTTCAGTGATCATGTTGATTCTCCTTAACTTTGATACCGGTTGTTAAGATCGAATCTAACACTCACAGAAACCGGATGAAAAAGATGATGAAAAACAAGAGAAATGGGAAATGTAGAGAGAGAAAGTGAAATGCGTGAATAAACCTCCACAGTGTATATATTAATGACTTAGAGTATGTACAGTTAGAGAGAATAAATGGAGAATGAATAATACAACATATAAATATTAATCAGGCTCTACAACCTAGGATGAATCCCGTGAACATTAATATTTGACATTACATCAAAATATTAATCAGGCTGCACAACCTAACATCAAGGAGATTAGCATTTGTACTTGACTGTTAGGAGAAATTATTTCTTTTACCATTTTTTAAAGATATTTATTAATGAGGGTATTACTTAGGAGGTACTTCCCTCTACTGGTGCTTATTAACTTATTGTTGATAAGCAGATTTTAACTTATACGTTGTTTATAAGCTAGGAGGGTGTTTCTCTGTGATGGTCCTTATTTATTTATTACTGATAAATAATTTTTAAATTTTAAGCTTCTTTTGAGTTAAATAATCTTTCGTGAAAATAAAATTACTTAAATGATAGATAAGTAATTTTGAAATATTCACAAATGGTGAGGAGTAATTTTGTAAATAATCTTGTGAAAACAGAATTTCAAAAAAACTTGCTTAAAAATACTCGTAACTTATAAGCAATTTTGACTAGCTTAGGTAGGTAAGACTTACTTAGATAAATAATTTATTCTAACTCTCAAGTCCAAAAGCATGGCCATATAAGATTTCTAAATCGTAAAATAAAGGGTAGTGATAGTCATATCCATCAAAAAACTACTCCCCTTTTTTCTAAATGTAAACTCAGCCCATATTCTAGTCTCTCTTCTACGTTCTAAAATATATAGTACTTTCAAATTCATACTGTGCACGGTATCAAATACATTATAATATTTGTAAATTTAAGATAAAATGATGTTTTAAATAGAATACACACACACACACAAATAACCTCCTATTTTGTTGAAGAAACACTTTTTTCCTAAACAAAGTCAACCACAATCACCCTTGTTATTACAAGTTTCAAATATTGAAGAGCCATTTCAAACCCATTAAATTGGACGTGAAACATTTTCAGAAGTAGATGGATAACTAATTAATGTGCAACATTTATACTTCTAAACTACCTTCAAAATTGGCAATACCTCTGCTAGCTGGATAAAGAAAAAACAAGACTCAATTTACTCCAATAATTGCGGGCATCCGAGAATGCGGGGAAAAAGTTAAATATAAAAAAAATTTCAGAGTAGATTTTTATTTTTTTCTTAAACAGAATTCATAATGTCAATATAAAACATCAAAAAAAAAATGTAAAATGTCAATATACAATGTCATTATGAAATAGTCTCATCCCATAAAATTTTATCCTGTGAATAGTGACAAAAATTATAATTTTTGGACGAAGTAGCTTATTAATACGTAGTATTTTATTTGTACTAGAGTTGGATTCACCACCTCTACCATTCTAGTGTCCCTTTTTTATACTCACTCTGTCCCCATTTTGATTACAATTTTATTTTTTTCTCTTCTCGGCAACTTTTGATTACTTAATTTGTGTGTTTTCTTTGATTATTTGATAAAATAAAATTTTACTTTCACCTCTTCGTTTTGTAGAACTTTTGATGTAATTTTTTAATTATAACATGTAATTTTTTATTGATTTATCAATTTATAAATAAAATGATTTCAAAAATCGTTGAATTTTACCTCGTAATTCCCATGTTCATGTTTTTGCCCCAAGCCTCAAGTATATAAACTGCAAACACCCCACAACTTAGTGACACCAGAGAAAGAAAAAAAAAAGTTTAAGTCAAAAAAATCAGTTAGAAGAAGAAGAAAAAAATGGCATCTCTAATCACAAAGGAGATCAGAGAGAGCGCGACCGAGTTCTACGAAGGGGACGAAAAGTGCCAAGAGAAAGCGAAATTCCTGCTGACCGAAATGAAGCTGCCCAACGGGCTGCTGCCCATAAAGGACATGGAGGAGTGCGGGTACGTGAAGGACACCGGGTTCGTGTGGCTCAAGTCCAAGAAGAGGACCGACCACAAGTTCGAGCAGATCGGGCGGTCGGTCCAGTACGCGACCGAGGTCACGGCGATCATCGAACCGGGCAGGATCAAGAAGCTGACCGGGGTCAAGGCGAAGGAGCTCATGTTATGGTTGACCATAACTGAGATCTCCACCGACGATCCTCCCACCGGGAAGATCCACTTCAAAAGCACCACCGGGTTGTCCCGGACTTTTCCTACCTCCGCCTTTGAACTGGGGGAGGAGAATCCCCCGAAGAAGGAGGAGGAGAAGGAGAAGGAGGAGAAACCGGTCGTCAATGGAGCGGGGGTAAATTTGGAAGTCAAGGAAGTGTAACTTGATCTCATTCTATTGTTACTACAATTAATACTTTAATTTTCTTATATTTTATAAGTTGGAATAATTTATATTTATAATAATAAGTATGTTGTACGACATGGCTGGAGTTAATTATCTAGTTTATACGTATGTGAGTCCACAAGTTATATGCTTTGTGGTTAAGTTGCTTCTCATATATGAAATGGCTTGAATTGGCTATTTCTCTGTCTTTGCTTTTTTTTTTTAATGGAAAGAACATTTTTAATTAGTTATTATGCATGGTGTCCATTTGGAATTTATTACTCCATTATATGTTGGTATTCTAGCCTCCTCTTACGTGAAAAGAAAAAAAAGATTAGTAGCCTTGCTTCATCAACCACTTTATAATGCAAATTATTGGTTCTTTTGAAACAACATTTTTGATTAATATCAGCGTTTTGGATAAAAAAACATAATGTGATATGAATTAATTTAAAAATGATAATGCTAAATGGGTCCAGTGAAGTCAAAGGACACTACTAGAAATAGTACAAGTAATGTATATGTAGTACATATCATGATATATATTGGGTAGTGCAATTGGTTATTCTACACAATAAATTTTAGTGAAAAGGCAGAGGGATTTGAATCCCCTTGGCCCAATTTTTTTCTCTGTTGGTTTACTTCTTTTCTCCTCTCTCCATTTTACATTTGTTATAACATTTTTTTGCACAATCATTTTGAACCATTCTTTTTGTCCAATCATTTTGAACAAATACTTCTATGTTATTTAATCCCTTCATTTCTAAAGAAATTTCAAATTTTCTTTTTTGATATTTGATCAAAATTATATTAAATTTAATTAATTTAATATCAACGTTAAATTTATAAATAATTCCTTATAAATATTACATAAAAATTCTCTGAAACAAAAGTGAACTCACTATGTAAATCGGAATTTACTAATGAAATTGAATATATTATTTTTGTTATTAAAACTTAAATCAATTGAATCAAATAAATTTAAAAGATTTATGGGTCCGCCCTAGTGATTTTCTGCAATTTTTGCTGCTTTTTTGTTAAGTGAATAAAGAGTGGCCTACTACAATCTTTTTTGCTGCAAAATGGATTTTTAATATCTCAGTTGTTTGTTTCAATTATGTAGGTGTTTCAATTTTTTGACACCACTACATAAATTTTCTCGATGCACCACTAGTCATTTATATAACTTTCGCTAATGCTAAACTTTAGCGTTGTTGCCAAACGGGAACTATATAATCTATTGGTCAAAAAGGGTCTTTTTAGTAATCGAGGTTCAAATTATATTTATTCATTTACACATGTTTATTGATTATTTAATAAAATAAATAGACAAGTCGCTACTAAAATCATAATTATTTCTAAAGTAGAGAATCCTAGGTGCCCCAATGATTTCGGACGGACAAATAGCTTCTTGCAAGTAAATTCTTTTGTGGTTCTCAAGTCCATACTTATTTTAAGAACCTTAAGACATAAGATGACTAAATGTATTGGGCTTTGTAAAACGAGAAAGATCTAACAACAAATGCATGAAAAATATGTTAAAAAGGTCCACATTACACATGTGGGCCTTAGGACCACGATAACACAACTCTTCTTGCAATGTTAAGTACTCCTAACCCGCTCCTTAAACTCCGGCCCCTCATATTGTCATCCACTGGATATTTCTAAACGGGAGACAGTGGAATGTCATCTAATGACATGGCCCCGATTGGGCTGGCTCATAATATTTGCAGTGTCTACCCCTTAACCACTCCTTTAATCCCCCTCCCCCCCCCCAGTTCATTAGTGTCCAAAACCCCACCCCCTTTCAATAGACTCTCAAGTCATCCTATGACATGGACTATAAGACTTCTATAATGAGTTATTTGTAAAATTTACGGTTCATATCCTCTCCTACCTCATCCTTTAAATTCTTCTGCCGCGTCCGATCCGAACTGACCTCCCACCCCCTCCCTTTAACCGTGCCTCCAAATTTAATTGACAATATTTGGGCAAAGCGGCCTCCCTCCGGATTCGGTATTGGGCCTCAAAGCATTTTGTTGGCAACACTGCCTTTTAGTGTGATGTCATAAAACTCATAATATTGTCTTGGTACCAATGCAATAAAAAAGGTGTTATCATATGTCATAATATGACATTTTGGATTTTAATGTCAAAAAAAGTCTATAACTAAACAATTTCTTTCTGATACTCCATCCGTCCCAATTTAAATCGTCTGTTTTGACTTTTGGCCATATTTAAGGAAAATAAAAAATAGAGTTGATTTTTCGAAATTGACATTACTTTTTAAGAGGGGTGATGATGAATGAGAAGATGAGGTGAAGAAGTGTGACTTATTTTAGGGGTAGTTTAGCTATTTTATTTTTAAAAGTTTCTGAAAATAACTAACAGACAACTTATTTTGGGACTGAGAAAAAAGGCAAACAGACAATTTAAAATGGGACGGATGTAGTAAATTCCTAACATCTAACGAGAAAATAAGTGCTATGCATTACCCTAAGGAGATTTTCTAAATAGTATTAAATCATTTCTCGTTTCCTTACATAGGATTATAAGTGTTAATTTTCCAACTTGCACCTAATTAATTACGAAGTATTATTAAAAGTAATGCTAGAGTCACAAACAAAATATTTACAAAATACATAAACTTACCAAATATGTAAAATAACATATTTATATAATGGTCTCAAAAAGTTAAAAAATAAAAACTAAAATACACAAATAGATTTACTTAACCGAATATGTAAAGTAAAGATTTACTTTCAAATTGACAAATTTTTCTGTGGTTCTAAAATCCACGCTCATTTTATGAACTTAATATATAAATACTAAAGATGAATTAAAATCTTTTTTAAAAATAAAAGATTCTCATATCGCTCATTAAACGTGTGAAAAAATCTATTTTACATGTGGACCTTAGTATCATAGAAGCACAATTTTTTTTGAAATTCCACAATTCTTTTAAAATATAGAAATCACCCTAAATAGAATTAAAATATAGGGAAAAGTACCAAAATAGGACTTTCATGTTTTTAATCCTGAAATAGGACTTCACACTGTTATAATGTGGCACTGTACATGTGCACATTATTATCTTTTTTGGTAATGTATATGACCATGTTTGGTTTGATAATGTAAATGTATTTTAACTCTTATTTCGGAAATAAAAGCATGAAAGTCTTATTTTGGTATATTTTCAGTATTTTACTCATGTTTTTATTTTTTTTCCTTTAAAATATTCTCTAATCCTAATTTTCTCAACTAATACCTATAAGGGTTACACAGTTACCTTTTAGGATTTGATAATATGTACTCGGTTGAATTTCATTTAGATATCATATCACAATCAGTCAACAGTTGGCCCTATTTATATTATCTGTTTTGGATGTTTGACTGAAATTATTTTCAATATAATTTATTTGATAATTAGAGCAGAATTAACAAATAAAATTTACATACTAAAAATTTAATTAAAAGCTCTTCCAAACAAGAAGTGACATCATTGTTTTTTTTAAAATGAGTAACTAAACGAATATTTTTTATATTTTTTTAAATTTATTATATTTAAAAATATTGGTATAAAAATAAAAGTAAATCTTACATATTTAAAAAATAAATCAAAAGTTTTACTTTCTCTGACTTAAAAAACATTTCATGTTCACTATGTAAGGTTTCGTATAGCATTTAATTTGTTTGCATGTACCTTTTCATTGGTAATTTGACATAATATTCTTTTCATAATTTGTAAGTTATACGGAGTATTTTTTTATTTCTGTGTTAGTTTGTAAATACAAAAATTTAAGATAGATAAGATTTTGTATGTTGTTCGAAATAAAAAGACTTTTTAGGCAGAGAGAGTACAAAGCGATAATAATATTGTATTTTACTCGCTCTGTCCCACAAAGATTGCAATACTACGTTAAACGAAGCAAATTTTCGAACTTTTTCAATTCATATTATTTAAAGATTGGTATAGAAATAAAGAAAAAAATGACATATTTAAAAATTATTCAAAAGTGTTACAAAATAATAGATGACAAGAATATTTTATTTTATCAAATAATCAATGAAAATGCAAAATTAAAAAAAATTCATGATTTTTGAATAGTGAAGTGGTGCAAATTGCAATCTTTTTTAGACAAAGTGAGTATGAAATAAGCAACAAAAAAACATTAATAAAAAAAATTATCATGCATTTTGAATAGTCGTGACATTCTTTGTGGGACAGGGGGAATATTCTGTAATTAATACACAAAGATAATTTAGTAAAAGAAAATTACTAGTATTACTTATTAAATTATACAGAGTAAATAATTAATTCCTGTGTCCCATAAAAAAATCTCTCTTTCTCTATTTAAATGTCCCAAAAAACATCACCCTTTTACTTTTTTTGTCTCAAATTTTTTCCAACTTTTGACTAAAAAGTCATTTTTACTCATATTAATTCTTAGTCTATCTATCACATTATATATATTTATTATTAATCTATCCATCACATTAAGGTAAAGAATAATTTGGAAAAATTAAGGCATAAATATCCCTTCGTAAATTCTCAAAAATCAAAACGGAAAGGTTTTTGAGGATGAAGTTTTTGGCAAAACAAAGAGTCATGAGAAATCACCTTGAATAAGACAAAAACATAGAAAAAGTACCAAAATATGAGTTTTATTTTTTATTCTCGAAATAGGAGTTTGAACTGTGGTAATGTGATGGTAATGTGACACTATACATGTGCACATTATTAATCTTTTTGGTAATGTACATGACCATGTTTGGTAATGTAAATGCATTTTAACTCATATTTTGGAAATAAAAACATAGAAGTCTTATTTTAGTATATTTTCAATGTTTTACTCACTTTTGTCTTTTTCCTAGAGTCATAGAGCATCTAAGTCAAAATACATACTCCATCCCAAAATATTTGCCATATTACGCAAAGCGGGGTAAAATTTTGAGTTTTTTCAATTCATTTTATTTAAAGATTGATATATAAATAAAAAAATAAAATTTACATAATTAAAAACTACGTTAATACTTCTTCAAGAAAAGAATTAACAAAAATATTTTATTTTAACAAATAATCGATAAAAGCGTATAAATAAACAAATATTTTCATAATTTTTGAGTAGTGAACTGTGGACATTAACAAACTAAAAATTGAATCTAGACCAGCAATCAAAATCTGCCAACCACATACTGTCTATCTATCTAAGAGGAGGAGAAGAGAGGGTGGTTGAATGAGAAGAAGGCCACCCTGATTGGCCTTGGAGTGCCTTCGCTGCCCAAATCTTTAGAAATCAAAATATTTTCTTACAAATCCTAAATGGTACGGGGTAATATATATAT